GAAGAATTGATGCTTTTGAACTGTGGTGTTGGAGAAGACTCTTGAGAGTCCCTTGGACTGCAAGGAGATCCAGTCCATGCTAAAGGAGATCAGTCCTGGGTGTTCATTGGAAGGACTGATGTTGAAGCTGAAACTCCAATCCTTTGGCCACCTCATGCGAAGAGCTGACTCATTGGAAAAGACCCTGATGCTGGGAAAGATTGAGGGCAGGAGGAGAAGGGGACAACAGAGGACGAGATGGTTGGATGGCATCACCGTCTCGATTGACATGGGTTTGGGTGGACTCCAGGAGTTGGTGATGGACAGGGAGGCCTGGCCTGCTGCAATTCATGGGGTTGCAAAGAGTCAGACATGACTGAGCAAATGAACTGAACTGAACTGAGTAAATGTTAGCTGTTAAATAGAAGTCCCATGCAGTAACAGTTTGTCAGTAATCCTGTGATGGCTTTACCTGTAGAAGATAAAGAGGTCGTTGAGGTACTCTGTCAAGCAACTAACACTTTTCTGTGTGGGTTTGTAATTGATCATTTGGTTATATAACCTTTGGCTCCTGTACTAAAGAGACTATTATGTGACTTACAATGGAATCCTTAGGGGAAAATTAGACATATGGAAATTATCTTTGTTTATAATTCTCAGGTTCTACTTATACATATTTTTTATTCTTTAATAAGTGGTTAATGTAATTTGGAAAAGTAGATACCTACCTTTCTCTTATATATATCATATGGCTTTAAATGTTATTTTTTAAGTGTGTAAAAGTACACATGTGAATTTGTACCCAACAAACTACATCTTTTTCTCAAGAAACTTGGGCTATGCCCATAGTATGAAAATAATAACATCACATTTGTCCTTTTGGTATCAACTCTAACAATGGACTTTATTGAAACAAAATTCTTTGGATACTTGGCTGACTTTGTCTGCACTTAAGCTTCAAATGTTTTTTTGTTTTTTTTGTTGCTGTTTGTTTTTTCAGATCAGCAGAAACATTTGAAGAAGAAGATGATCTTGACAGTCTTATTAATGAAATATTTGAAGAGCCCCACTTGAACAAAAAATGCTTTGTAAGTAAAGTGTCATAAAGGTAATAGCAATTCTTTCATTATCTCAAGACATGTTTAAAATAATCTGAAAGCTTATAGAATTTACAAGTATCTATATTCCTGAATTATGAGAAGTAAAATTGTTTAAAGAAATTATTCCACTTAGATTTATACAAGAAAAAAATATTAGAAACTGTGTTTTGCTGTTTATTTCTTGTCAAGAATGATAAATTAGAAAAGCCATTGAACAAAACGCAACTTGCAGATGAAGTTGATTACTTGTATTTATTTGTAGACTCTTAAGAGCACTTTTCTAAAAGATCAAAATCAGCTTTCATTATAGGAATGTGCTTAGCATCTCAGATGCTTTGCCGTTGCTCTCATCCCTGAACTAATGAGTTAGTTGGTAATTTAATTTTTTAAATACTTGTGCATCTATGACAACTTTATAAAAGCTTGTAAAATAACGTAACAGCCACCTGTATATTTACTACTCATACTGAACATACCTTAACATTTTGCCAGATTTACTCCTCTGTATTTTTTATTTTTTGGACATGCTGCATGGCTTGCGGGATTTTAGTTCCCCCACTGGGAGTTGAACCCAGGCCAAAGTAGTGAAAGTACCACTGAACTGCCAGGAGCTATATATATCTTCAGATCAAGGCATTTCAGAAAGAGAAAGAAATACTTTTCTAAAGAAATACTAGAGAAGATAATCTGAAACAAAAGTAGCTTTTATAATCATGAAGAAATACACTTTTATACATTTCTTCTGTATGCTCCCTTTTTTTTTGAGGGTGAGGAAACAGATTTTATTTATTTATTTATTTGGCTGCACGTTGCAGTATGCAGAATCTTAGTTCCCCAGCGAGGGGTTGACCCCATGCCCCTTGCATTGGGAGCTTGGAGTCTTAGCCACTGGACCACCAGGGAAGTCCTCGTATGCTCCCTTTTTGAAGTTAGTTATTATATTCAGTTTTCCAACCTGCAGAAGAGAAAGCAACCCAAGTTAAACTTCTGGAGAAAAGCAGATTGATGTCAAACATTGATTGGATGAGAAAAGAAGTGTGTGAATTGCCAGTCCGCGCCCAGCTTGTCCTAAGAGGCCAGATCATGCTCCTGAGAACAGTACTCCCTCCCCCATTGCTCACCCATTGTGTTGTGTTTTTCTTTCTTTTTTTTTTTTCAATTAAAGTATAGTTGACTTACAGTATTATGTTATTTGCCAGTTATTTTGTTCATTAACCATTTTCAGACTCACCCAAGAAAGCTCAGAAACAGCTGCAGATGTCCCAGTGTGCCAGCTTTGAGTCATAAACAGGAGCCAGGATGGCACATGGAGCATGCTTCCAAAGACAAACAGAGACTCGGGCACAATAGTATTTTTCAGATATGCACTAAAAATGTTTCCAGTTCTGTTTAACATCAGTTTTATTTAACAAATAAAAGAGTTAAGAGAAAATAGTAAAACAAAGTATTTTGCCTCCATTAAATTTCCTCACCTACTAGGTAAAATGATGGCGTGTCTCTGCATAGTTTAAATTGCCTTTTCTCCTTCTCATTTCCTTTCCTTGGTGGTGGTCCTAGTATGTGGTTGGCTTATGTTGTTTGGTACCTTATACCAGTTAACACTTAATAAGTGCTTGCTAATGATGATGTTGTGTAACCATAGAGGAACTACTATATGGTTGTGACTAGGCGACTCTACATTTTCATTGAATGTCTAATGGTTGATACCATTCTGTTTGATCAAAACTAATATTCCTGAAGTTACCCAGGAGTTTGGTTAATTTATTTTTAGTTCAGGTGAGTACCATTCACAGCCTTTAAAATGAGTCTGAGATTTTCTTCCTCAATTGCATTTTTCCATGATGAAGTTTTAAATAGCATATCCTTCATATTAAATCATTGAACTCTAGTGTTAACTGAAGAGTTATAAAGTGACTCTAAATCTTAGCATGCTAATAATGGCAGTATGTCAATTTTCTGGACTAAACGTTAGCATAGTAATTTGTGAATTCCTCAGAGAGGTCTGCTTCCCCTTTGTTTTTACAAGGTTTTGATCATTGTTTTATTTCTGAAACTTTAAAATCTAAGGAAATTTTTATTTAAGCCATTTTTAAATACTTTTATTATAAAATAACAAATATTAGTTTTCATGTTACAATTCTCTAAGTTACCTCTGGTCTTTTATTATTTTGGTTTTTTTTTTAACAGAAATTAAAATCTAAATCTTCAGGTAACACATCTGTCAGAGCTTCCATTCAAGGCCTTGGTAAAAGGTAAGTCGGGATTGCCTCAGCAAACTGCTAAGCATGGTCTAGTAGATTTTGTTACTATTTAACAACACTGAGCAACAAAGCACTGGTTAGTTTTCAGGAAAAAGACCGAATAGCAGCATTTTTGGTGCTCTTATGGTCTGTGACTCCTTAGCGCAAAGGAACTTGAATGGGAGGTTATTGCTGTTGTAAATAATTTTCTGCTGTGTAAAAAAAAGTGTGAACACTTTCTCAGAATTAATGTGCTGTTATGCTCTTCAATATTTACTTTGTCCCTTACATTATTTGGCAAACACATTTTTCTCTGACTCATTTTAACTCTTTGAGTAGTCCTGAATGTACAGGTTTTATACAATAAAGCACTGACCCTGCAACGAATACCTCTTCCTTGTAATAGTTGACTTGCTCAGGAAAATATACAATTTGATTTCAAGAATATAGAGTCAGTGAGGCTAAATTAACTTCTCGTGCTTCTTTTATGTTTTGGTTTTATTTTTCTCCCCTCTGTTGAACATGTCTAGCTGCAGCCCAGTGTACATTGGTGGAAGCACTGTTCCATGTGGGATTGGGACAAATACTTCACGGAGGTAAGATGTCAGAAATACATTATACATTAATTAGGTTTTTCCAAATTGATATCCTGTTAAAACATAGTTCTTATCATCTTGGCATGAGCCTGTTTCATCATAAGAGGTGTATTTTGTTAGCCAGTCTGAGAACACTTTACCGAAATGTATATTATTCGTAGGTGATACCTGTGGTGTTGGGTATGCATTGTTCACTGTGTTGACACCTTCTCTAAGATCACTTGAAGTGCCTGCGTCACTTCCATCCCAGCTCGGTTTCCACAGGACACCAGGAGCTGAGCTTCTGCTTTGCCCGGTTCCCTCCAGGCACAGAAGCCAGTGAGTAGACAGGTGGACAGTGCGGCCATGTACTATGTGATGTGTTACGCACCCTGCCTTGGCCAAGCAGCATGAGAAGCTGAGGGTCTGGAGTACCCAAAGAGTTCTTAAGCATAGTCTCTTGGTTTTACATATTTCAGAAGCAGAAACCCTCCTTTTGTCATCTCTTCCCCAGCCCGCCTTTTACCCAGTGTCTCACTCAGGACCTCTTTCAGGGCGGTCTTACAGTCACGGTGCCGCCTGTCCCAAGCCCCCACAGCCTCAGACTCCCGGCCTACACCACTGTCAGTTGTCGTAAAGTGGGGAAACAGACTGGTGTTTGGTGAATCTTTTTTTTATTGAAGTATGGTTGTTTACAATGTTAATTTCTCCCGTCTAGCAAAGTGATTCAATTATACATATATATACATTCTTTTTCATATGCTTTTCTATTATGGTTTATCACGGAATACTGGATATAGTTCCCTGTGCTATACAACAGGAGTACCTTGTTGTTTATTCATTTTATATATAATAGTTTGTGTCTGCTAGTCCCAGATTCCCAAGCCATCTCCCCCCTACCCCCTCTCCTTGACATCCACAAGTCTGTTCTCTTGTCTATGAGTCTATTTCTGTTATGTAGATAAATTCATTTGTGTCATATTTTAGATTCCACATATAAGTGATATCATACAGTATTTGTTTTTCTCTTTCTAACTTACTTTATTTAGTATGATAATCTCTGGACCCATCCATGTGACTGCAAATGGCATTATTTCATTTTTTATTATGGCTGAGTAGTATTCCATTGTGTATATATGAAGTGAAGTGAAGTTGCTCAGTCATGTCTGACTCTTTTCGACCCTGTGGACTGTAGCCTTCCAGGCTTCTCCGTCCATGTTATTTTACAGGCAAGAGTACTAGAGTGGGTTGCCATTTCCTTCTCCAGGGGATCTTCCTGACCCAGGGTTCGAACCCGGGGCTCCTGCACTGTAGGCAGACGCTTTGCCGTCTCAGCCACCAGGGAAGCCCATTGTGTGTATGGGCCACATCTTTATCCATTCATCTGTCAGTAGACGTCTAGGTTGTCTCCTTGTGTTGTTTGTTATTAAGTAGTTCAGCAACTCATTTTACTGTCCTGGTTAATTTGGTTCTACTTTTACAGAAGCCTACTTAACTAAATTATTATGTTTTGTCTAATTATTTCTAAAACACTTTTTCATTTTCTGGTAATTTTTTAAGAAATGAAAGACTACACTATATGACTACACAATCACACTTCAGGAGAGATAATCATTGTATTAAATAATTAAAGTTGGATCCAAAAAGACAATGTTGGAGGGTGCAGCTGGCCTAGACCTTGGAGGCCCAGAAAAAAGGGCTGTGGGACCAGAGGGAAACTGAGGATCTGGGGCAGCCTAGACCAGGAAGACCAGGCCGTGGACAGGCTGCAGCAGCCCACGGGAATGATGCTTGCTGGTACGTAAGCGCGGATAGCACCTGACTCATCCTGCATTGAAGACTGTCTATACAAAGAATTAGAGACTCAAACTGCACTTAGAGAACAATTCCATCTGGTTGCTATCGATCCCAACTTACCTGTGTCAGCCCAGTTGGACTGTCTCAGCCATTGCCAGACCACTCTGCCTTGGATCCAGGCTTCTCTCAAGTCACCGTGAACTGTACAGTGAAGGTCTCCTAGTTACTATCCACTTCTGTCTCCTGTAGTCTCACCCACATAGAGCATTACAGAAAAGATCCCTCCCATACTGTCTTGAGCACCTCTCCCCTGTTCAGAAGGAAAATGAGAGCTGACATCTGTCTCATGTTAACTCTAAACTCATTGTTTGCTTTACTAAATTGTTGTCCTTGTTCTTCCTCCTCTTTTTTCAGTTCTTTTACCTCCAGGTGAAGCCTAGTCAGATACTTTAATTCCAGTAGAACACTTGTTATGCTTCTATTAATACTTTCCACTTAACACTTTTCTGCCTCTGAGTATTTTTACATTTATTCCCTGACTAGAATGGAAAAGACATACAATTTGCATTTATATGCACAGGTAAGTGTTTATATTTGCAGATCTTCCTCACCCATCACAAAGATATTAATCATTGACCACCCTCTTCATGACACAGATCAGCACACACAGAAAGATAATCACGTACATATTCATGTTCATGTAAAACCTTTTATGTGTGAAGTACTTTATCTATCCAGAGCACTTTTTTTGTATACGTGTATTGGTTCATCTGCTTCACAGGAAAAAAACAAGATGCAGATAGAGCAAGAATTTTTAACCCCACTTTATAAATGAGGAAATTGAGGCACTGGTGTTATTTTCATTAGACAGGTACTAATTCATCAAGTGCTTGCTAAGTCCTAGATTTTAAGTGAACACCTTATGGCGAACAAATAAATGGCCACTTCCCTTCCCTCAATGAGCTTTCAGTCTAGATAAGGAAAGAGACTTTAATTCTACAAATAAAAAAAGAATAATTCTACAAATAACTATGTGATTTCTACATAATACATAATGTAACAGATAAGGATACTATACACATAGATAATTGGCATTCTAACTAATATGAAAGGTTAGGGAATGCTTTCCTAAGCAAATAATATTTAATCAGACTATGGTATGATAAGTAGGATATAAGCAAAGAGGGGACCATTGGCATCACCATGTTAAATGAGGACACACCATGTTAGGTGATCCCTGAGCTTGAGAAGCCAGAGGTTTTGGAGGAAGGAAGCAGCCAGGTGAGCTGGAGTGTGGTGAGTGGGGGAAAGAGTGGCTCTGGAAGGAGATGGAGAGATAGTCAAGGGATGTTTGGTTTGGGGCCCTGAGGAGGATTTTAGAAACCTAAGTCCTACAGCAGTGAAATCCGTTGGGTTGTTAGTTTTGTTGTTTTTGTTTATGTTTTTTTAAGCAAATAGAGGTGACATAATCATATTTGCGTTTCTAAAGAAATTTTTGTTCTAGAATAGAATATGGATTGGAACTTGGAAGGACAAGACAGGAGGGAACACTGAAAGACCAGTCAACAAACTGTAGTTAGCAGTGGTCCAGGAAGGAGACAATGATGGCCACAGTGACCTAAGTGCTGGCAGTGGCTGTAGCAAAAAGGGGTCTCACTTGAGGTACTTAGAATATAGAAATGACAGAATTTGGTGATTGAATGGCTATTGGAGGTCAGAGAGAAAGTTGTCAAAAATGACTCCCAAGTGCTGTTCCTTGCCCAAGGCGAGGACTCAACTGTGTAACTTGATTCCTAGTCCATTATGCTTTCTGGTATACCAGTTGATTATATAATGTATGCAAGACGGAAGCGCTTCTGCTACTGTAACTGTTGTTATTTTCCAGCTGCCCAAACAGCAAGACTCCCCCGTGCACTGTGTAGATCTGACTGAGAACCACAGAGTCTGTGCAGAAGACTATACTGGGCTGTGTTTTGGACATTCCCACCACTAACATCTTTACAACAACACAGATTTTACTTACTAGTCAGATAAAAGGACAAAGCCATTGGTGACACCTTCTTGTTTGTATTTTCTCACATTTTAGAGGAAAGACCTGACAGTTATCTTTAATTGGAACCATGACTTTATGTTAGATATTCTTTTATATATAGTCAGGAAAGAAAAATATATTTAAGCTCTGAAAATAAGCACCGATTTACATACTGAGAGTATAAAGGAAGGTCTGCTCTACCTATTTTTCGTGTGTTATATCTGTTTAATTTTAAATAAAGCTCAGGTTCAAGAGTAATCCTGAATGATTTTAGAGTGTAAAGATTGGAGTCTTTTACCCAGCTGGTGGAAAGGAGAAAGAGTGGTGGGAAGCAAAGCACCGTGGCATTGATAAGGTATAGAGAAAACCAAAGCGGCGTCTTCAAGCCAGACTGAATTTTACTCTGCTCAGTTTTTAAACTACTTGCAAGACTGGACTATTCCATAGACTGGTACTAATTATGATCTAATAGAGTGAATCGTAGCAGCAGAATGATTTCTTAGCTGCAAGTTAGTTTTATGTTTCTCAGAGGACAGTGTTTGTAGGAAAATGTGGTAGTGTGAATAGATTTGAATAAACTACTAAATTTTAAATTAAAAAGCTGTATTTAACATTATGGTTGAAATTTTACACATACAAAATGTCAGGAAATTCTAAATTATAGTTCCCACAACAGCAGTAATTCAGGCAAATTGCACGTATGTATTAAGGCATTAAAGTTAACACTCTGTGCAGTCATGTAATAAACTACATATGCATAAGAAAGCCAGTTACAGCAGCTTTGGGAACCATCATTTTGCATTTTCCTGACCTGTACATTCAAAATCCAAGTTCAGATGTGTACAAATATAAGTATGTTGAATTTCCATATGTACAGGTTCAATTTCATAGATTTCTAAAAGTTCAAAAGAAAATATGGAATTGTTTTTCAAGCTTGTATAGATTTTAAATGTGTAGTTATTGTTGTAACTAATATTTTTAGAAATATTTAGAAATATAAAGTATTGTCAAACTTTCAGGCAAAATATATTTGCAATTTTGAAGTTGACATATCTGATTTTAGAGGGAAACAAGTGAAAAAAATATAATGATGGATTTTATTTTTTAAATGTAGAAGTATTATATGTTTATTGGGGGGAAAAAAAAAAGTCAAAGTGTATAAGGAGAAAGATAACAATCTCCTTCCAAACCTAGACAGCATGTTAAAATCAGAGACATCCCTTTGCCAACAGAAGTCCGTATAATCAAAGCTATGGTCTTTCCAGTAGTCACATACAGATGTGAAAATTGGACCATAAAGAAGGCTGAGTGCTGAAAAATTGATGCTTTCCAACTGTAATGCTGGAGAAGACTCTTGAGAGTCCCTTGGACAGCAAGGAGATCAAACCAGTCAATCCTAAAGAAAATCAACCCCAACTATTCATTGGAAGGACTGATTCTGAAACTGAAGCTTTAATACCTTGGCCACCTGAGCCAACTCATTAGAAAAGACCCTGATGCTGGGAAAGATTGAGGGCAGGAGGAGAAGGGGATGACAGAGGATGAGATAGTTAGATGGCATCACTGACTCAATGGACATGAGTTTGAGCAAATTCTGAGAGATGGTAAAGGACGGGGACCTGGCTCACTGCAATCCGTGGAGTCACAAAGAGTCAGACAGGACACAGTGACTGAACAACAGCAAAATGTCCTTATAAACTTTTAAACACCTGTACAGGAAAATCTGGGCAGTGGTTTTTACAAAAACAGGATCATGCTGTATATGTTACTCTGTACCTAGTTTTGTACACCTTTAGGTCAATAAGTAAATGTAATTATCTCTATCAACTGCCTGATATTCCATGGTATAAATGTTATTCAATCTTTTCCCTCCTGGGTAGCTATCCAGGTGATATCCTGTTTTTCTGCCATTTCAACAATACTGTGTAGAAATTCTTGAGATATATGCCTATATTCTGGTACTTTTATTTGTAGATTCCCCAAAATGGGCTTGCTGGCACAACAGCTAGGTTTAATTTTAACTTTAAAATTATACTAAGATTTTTCCTAAAAGGTTATAAGTTCACATACCCACCAGAAATGTCTGAAAGTGCTAATTTTTGCTAACATAATTGGTTTAGATATATATTCCATAGTTGCTTTAAATTTTAATTCTTTATGTAGTATTTTAACTTTTTTAACAAATGCTATGTGTCAAGCACTGTTATAAGCACTGTATCAACATTAGCTTAGTTAGCTCCTCCTAATTGTGAGTGTGTAATTATTACTATCACCATTTAACAGATAGGGAAACTGAGTCACAGAGAAGTTAAGTTACTTGACTATAATTACACAGCTGGGGAATCAGCATTTGAACCTAGGCAATCCTGTCTACACTCTTAACCACTCATCTATGCTACCTGTATAAGTGAAAGTATATTTTAGGTTTTTTTTCATTGTTGTCATCTTTAAGCAGTCTTTGTCAGTATAAGTATTTGATAATGTGTTGAAGATGTTTTCTTTCACTCTATCACTGGTCTTTTCACTTTGTTTTTGGTATCTTAGAAAACCCTTATTTCCTTGTAATTTTTAGATGATCAAATGTGTCTATATTGATTCTAATTTTAAAATACTTCAGACAGTGGAGATTTCTTAAGTAAATCACAATTACTATACAAGTCAAATTGTTTGAAGCAGCAATTCATAATTCTTATTGTATGTTATCACTTTACTCCTGAAGTTACCGTATAGTACATGAATTAGGAGATTTGCTTGGCATTTCAGTCCCTCGGGTTGTCGCTGACTGTCTGTTCTGTGCTAAGTACCATTTTAGTGGTTCTGTCCTCTTTCATCGGCAGCATTTGGCCCTTTACCGCATCTCTGCCATCAACATACAAGCCTGCCCTTTTCCCTCTTTTCTTCAATATGACCTTCTCTTAATCCCACTGCCTTTACAACGCCACTTCATCTAAAGAAACTGCTTATATAGTAGACACACCTCCTCAGTGAAGCCTGTGCAGACCGCTGCATTTAAAATTGCAGTACACTTCCTCCCAGTGCTTCCAGTTTCATTGACTCAACTCTACTTTTTGTTTTATTTAAAGCATTTTTATCATCTAACATAGTATATAATTTAGTTATTGTAAGTATTGTTTATTCTCGAATTAGAATCTAAGCTATATGAGGACAGAATCTCACCAGCACATAGTAGGCTTTCAGTAAATATTTTTTTAAGTGAATGAATGAAAAATGCAAAGTAGTGGGGAAACAGAAGCAAATAAGATATTGTCCCAGCACTTACAGGAAAAACAGATTCATTTCAATACATTATGGCCATTCTGTGATAGAGGTATCCTGAAATTTTCATTAGGAAAGGAAACACTTAAAAAGTTAGCTTAAGTGACGATCTCCCTCAGGTGCAATTTAAAAACTAAAAGACCTATAAATCAGTTTTTTTCTTTATATATGCGTATATATCAGTATGTAAGATCTTAGTAAAATAGGTAGGTTTATGCAGAAATTTAACCTAAAAATTCAAATAGGTAATCAGTCCATTAGTATAAAAATTTATAATCAGATTCATCTTTATGTTTCTGTTGTTTACTCAGTAATCTGTAATGTGTGATGTAGTCTATGAATAAATCAGCAGATTTTCACATTTTTAAAATATTTATTTATTTGGCTGTATCAGGTCTTAGCTGCAGCACGTGGGCTGACCAGAGATTGAACCTGGGCCCCCTGTATTGGGAGCATGGAGTCTTAGCCACTGGACCACCAGGGAGGTCCCAATTGTCAAATTTAAACTTACCAATCATTTCTAATGTACAGTTATTTTTCTCTGAACAGAGCATGTGACCATCTGCGTTGTACAGCCTGTGATTTCTGGGTAGAAAGCTACGATGACTGTAGGTGGGACAAATCGTGTGATTACCTGTTCTTCAGGTATGTTTCTAAAAACTTCACCCTGTGAAAAATGTACTTAATGCAACTTTATATTTCTTATTGTGCTATGATGCCTCTTGTTGGCCTTGGCCAGATTGTGTGATCTGCACTCTTTGATATTTCTTGTATCATCTCCTTTCCATCTGTGCTATCAGCCTAATTAAGGACATGTTACTTCTGGACAAGAGTTCAGAAGTAGCCTCACTATTTTTCCTGAGTATAATCTCTTCTTCCAGACCACCCTTCACTTGCTGAGAATTAAAGCATAACTCTGAGCATGCCATTCTCTTGCCCCAAACCCCTCTGCTTACAGAATAAAGTCCAAATTCTTTAGCATGGCGTATGAGACCCTCCACAATTCAATCCCCATCTGCCTGTCACCCAGCTTTGTTCGTCTTTCCACCATACAGTTTTCACCTTTACTAGGTTATAGGTACATCAGAGTACTCAGTGCTTCCATTCCCTGTGACTTTGTATAAACTCTCCGCCTCTTGAGGTACCTTCCCACCACTTTATCTACCTAAACCCTACGTGTCCCTCGGTACAATTCATTGCTCATTTTCCATGGTTCCCTTACCACTCTCTCAACTTGGAATTAAACTCATCCTTTTTCATGTGTCCACAGCACTTTGTACCTGTTACAGTACTTAACTGTAATAAAAGGTTGAAAAACTCTTGGATGGTATATGTCTGCTTCCCTCCTTGTGGTTGAAATAATGTCTTACTCATGTTTTTATAATACTTACTGAATGCCTAATGTTTTTAAGTTATAAAAATATATTTGAGCTATACCTTCACATTCTCAAATAAACATTAAGGGTTAAAGAATAGTAAAGTACATATATCATGCATTTTGGGTGCCTAAAGTGTTTGGGTTTGGGTGCCAAACCTGCTAAACGAAGACTATATTCTCAGATACAAGTAATCAGAATTATTGCAGCACTCTTCTGTAGCATAGGAAACGGGTGAAAGGCTTTCTTCACACCTTTCTGGTAGCTGTTCTCTTATAAATCTATAGGAGTCTCCTCTAGTGTTAATGTAAGAGTTTTTAAACTTTTCACATCAAGAAGTGTTCTGGAAATCTTGTGAAAACTTTGAATCCTCTCCATATACGCAAAGAAAAACTCAGATATGTACTTAGAAAAATTACAATTTGAAAGATTTCATGGTCCCCAACCCCAAAAAAGCCTAGTGCAATCCCTAAATCCAAGTCAGGAGCCCTTACTCCTGACCTGGGTTTGTGTTAGTCCACTTTTTAATCCCATTTTTTGAAAAGTTAGCTTTTAATTTCATATTCATCTTTTCTGACTTATCTAAGCCCTCTGCTATATACTCTCTTCTAGTTGATGCAATACCTGGGTAATAGTCCACATATTTCACTAAGATAAACCATCAATTTTTGTAAAACTAGTATAATAGAATGCATATACCATCACAACATCACTGAGCACAGGCATAAAGGAAGCTTATTGGTGATTTAGTTGTACTTGAGGAACTTAGTGTCTCCGAGTTTTCAAGGGCAGTCACAGTTGGTTTACTGTAGATCTGTTTGTTGTTGTGCTTACTCGCTCAGTCATGTCCTACTCTTTGCGACCCCATAGACTGTAGCCCGCCAGGCTCCTCTGTCCATAGAATTTTCCAGGCAAGAATGCTGCAGCAAGTTGGCCATTTCTTACTCCAGGAGATCGTCCCAAGCCAGGGATCAGACCCACATTTCTTGTATCTCCTGCATCGACAGGCAGGTTCTTTGCCACGAGCGCCACCTAGGAAGCCCATAGCTATGAGCAGCCTGGTTTTTAAAAACTACAGGCTTCTAGATAGTGAGAGCTATAAGATTCATTACACTATTAAAAATAGATGATGTTTATTGTGATTTATTTTTACACAGAATACTGAATACAGTGTTTTAAGAGTAATGAGTAGTTACTGAAATCAGTAGAAAGTACCGTCTCAGGCCTCGGGATGCTTGGGAATATGTTTGAGAAGTAAGAGAATGGAACAAATAAAGGAGAGGCTATGAATCCCCATCAGGATATAGATCATCAATATGACATTTTGTAGCGCTTACTAGCATTTCTTTTTATCAGGTTTTCTTTAGGACCTAATCTGTAGCGTTGTTAAATACCAGGCTCACAAGATGAATAGGACACAGTGTCTGCTCTCAAGCTACACTCAGTTTTGAGAAGGAGAGACACTGTTAGAACATCACGTGATAAATGTAAAAGAGGAATTTCACAGGGCATGGTGGATGCATTCCACCCTGTGGTGTCAGAAAAAGCCTCAGAGCCTTGAAGGATAACCAGGAGTTTGCCTGGCAAGCCAGATGGACACCGGTGTTCTTTTAAGAGATATTTTTAAAGACACCGGTGAAGCTGCATGGCGTGTTTGGCAACTTCCAAGCAATTTGGACTGTGTGGAGTTTTGGCTCTAAGAGCAGAACTTGGCAAGAGGTGAAGTAGGAGCAAGAGATCAAAAAGAGCAGAGGCACAGTAGTAGTGCTGAGGAATTTGGACTTCATTTTTTAGGCAGTGGATAACCACTGAAGGTTTTTAATCAAGGAAGAGATCTGAATATTTGAATTTATAAAAGATTGCTCACTATTTATGGGAACCAGACCAGTTTAGAATCACAGGAATTAGTGAGATATATTGTGGTAATCCAGTGGGAAGGAAATGATCTGAGTTATGACAATGGGGAGGGTAGACTAGAGATGGATTCAAGAGCTATTTTAGACTTAGTAATATATTTACGAAGTATATATTTAGTAATCCTGACTGTGGAAGATGAGAGACAAATGTTAGCCAGGATGGGTCCTAGATTTCTGTCTTGGTTTACTAACATGGGCCATGATACAGTCCATTGATAGAATCTAAGAACAGTTTTGAAGGAGGAGTCTATACATTCGTTATGGGAGCTGATGAACCTGTGACTCTGAAGCTCAGATAGGAAATGTCTCTGTACAGTGGTAGTCAGAACCATGAGACTGGAAGATGTTACCCAGAAAGGTGACTTGGAAGCCTGTTAAATGCTTCCAATGCAGAGTTAAAGGCTCATTTAGTTAAGATAGGAGATGCTTTGATGTTTATATTGTGGAGGGGAGGGAAGACATTGGAAGGGGAGGTTATGTGAGTAGCAAGGTCCTGGAGGCTTTAAGGTGCAGAGTGCTGATGGCAAGTGAACCGTGAGTAGGAAGAGGCCTCCTCTGTGCCTGGGTAGAAGGTGGTCATATGCTGATGTGTTTCGGGGGGGAAGCTAGGAAACAGAAGCCTTTTCACATCTCATTGCCTGATTTTGTGAATGAAGATGTGATCTGCTTGAAAGTAGAGAAGTAGAGGGGAGATGAAACACTTGAGGAGGGCAGGAAATGATCACTGGAGAAACCAGAAGTAGGTGATGACCGAAGGCAAGGTAAAAGTTCTAGGAGTATCCCCAAATGCCCAGCAGGACATTGGGAGCCATTTGTTGTTAGTGGTACCAGTCTGCATGTTGGTTATACAGCAAAAACCCATTTAGTTGTTTCATTGTCCTTATCTTACAAGTGAGGGCAGTAAGTGTAGCCTAGCTTTGACAAGTTTTAGAACTTTCTAAAAAGAAGTGTAAGCTATACTTGACCATCCTGCCATAATAGCTAAGTAAAATGCTCTTATTTTTCTATTAAATCGTATTTCCTTTATGGAAAATAATATTTTCTTTCTAAGCTTTTAAAAATAATGCACTACTTGAAATGTATTAATTAATTAGTTCCTTGGCTTTCGTGATTCCTGTTCTTGAAATCTGTAAGGATTCAATCTAATCAAGTGTCAGATGTTAAGTCTGTCAAAATATACAGATTGAATAAAGGACACTTCTTCACTTAGCCATTTAGTTTTAATTAAACATATTTAGTTTTGTTATGCTATTCTCTTTCCCATAAAGCTTATTCATTTCTTCCCTTATCTCACTGTAACCTTAGCTGAGTCATTCAGCTGGTCAAAGTCTCAGTTTCCTGAAGTCAGACCCTTGGCCTTGAAAAATCTCTCAGGTTTTTGTTAGTGTCAAAATTGCGCCTGAATTTTGTGCAGTACTGACTGTGGTGCCCACTGGCCACCAGAGGGCACTTTGTATCCTGCTTTCCGTTGCAGTAACATCAAATAACAGCACTGTCTTTTTTTTTTTTTTAATACTTGTACTGTGTTTCATCATTTTTACTATGTATTTTTTCATCATTCCACTTTGAATTTTTTCATCTTCTTTCGCCATGAAATAGTTACATAAATTCAGTACATGAACTATGAAAATCATAGTTGATTTTCTGTTAATTTCTATGAATTAAATTTAACTTCTGTAGTCTTTTTTATCACAGCACCAAGTCAGATGGTTATCATTTTTCATGAGTTCTGCCCAATGACTCAATTATGTTAAAATTATTGACATTTACTTCAGGATAGGCATTTTTTTTTTCTGATACTATAAGTGAATAAGAACAAATTGAAACAAATGAGATACAATATGAATTCAACACATAGAAATAACAAGCACTTTTTCTCTATTAATGAAAAATTGTCATAGTTAACATATCAGAAGCCTGTTACCTGTATGCCTCTTACATGCCCTCCATGTGCAAGCTTTTAAAATATGGCACGGGTGAGTGTTTGAGGTTAGAGATGAACCACCATCTTTTCCGCTGTGTTCTTACATTATGTTGTCTCAGATAGGACAAATCAGTGATTCTTCAGCTCTTTACGTCACTGTGTTCTACAGCAGCCCTAATAAACAGACCTAGAGGATTACCATTTTAAAATATTGAAACCCTCAGAAAGAGAACACCAAAGTGTATCTTCTGTTTTGCATGTGAAAACACCAAGTAGTTTAGTGTTTGGATGTTGTAAAGATTGGAAAATAAAGCAATGAGAATTTCTTTTTTTCTTTTTTTAAGTCATTAGGCACTGAACAAAGCTATTATACTAAAACCTTCTTGTTTTACCAACAGGAACAATATGCCAGAATTCCACAAATTAAAAACAAAGCTGGTAAAGAAGAAAGGAACACGAGCATACGCCTGCCAGTGCAGCTGGCGGACTGTTGAAGAGCTGACTGACCTTCAGACCGATCATCAGCTCCGCTGGGTTTGTGGCAAACACTAAGGATGCAGACTTTCCACATTCAGACAGATGCGTCCATGGGAGCAGTCTCTATTAATCGCCACAGTGTTAGGTAAAGGTGCATGGTATCATGCTCTTTGGAAAAGACAAAATTTCTTTTAATGGCTGTACAAATTTTCAAGGACTAAATGGACTTGGGAAGATAATGTGCTTTAACATATTGGAATTACTCCTTTTTGATATATGAGCATTTCACTTAGTAAGGTAACAGGTCATCCAAATACTTCTTTGCTAGACTGTCTCCTGGAGTTTCATACAGATATATAGCCGTTCAGTCGTAGGTGCCGTACTGCTGACTGCTGATACACTTGGCATGAGTATTCCTCATTATAGCAGTTAAAGAGGATAAGGCTGGCCTGAGGGGTCACTGACCGGGTACACATCACCTGCCCTGGTCAGATCTGTTGTTAGCAAAGATCATAATCTAGACACGTCAGAATCTGTATAGTCAGTGACCGATTAAAGGGTTTTTGAAGTGTATGGGTGAATTGTAGGTAAAAACTGCCTGTATCTGATCTTACTTCACAAATTCAAAGCAATTCTATGCACAATAATAAGTATATATTACCAGTTTTAACTTATTTCTCCTCCTTTTGTTCATTTAGATATCAAAAGGTATCTAGTTTTGTATTTTAGCAAATATTCATTTCTATATAAAAAAGATTTTTTTGATGCACCTAAAACTACAAGGAAAAATCCTGATACAGATCATTGCTGGATTTTCAAAGTACCTTCTTGCCTTTAATGCCCTAAAACTCCATTAAGTAAAGAGAACAGCAAGTAAGGTATTTTCTCAGGCAGCCTGTTGATTTTTCTGGTAGGATCAGGTTGACATGCTGTTTATTAGATAACTACATGAAAACAGAAATAAAGCATAGCTGAACTAGCAGGTAACCTGTTGGGCTCCATAATATGACTAAGACTTGAGGAACCCTACAAAGCAGCACATTTGGAAAAGCGGTTACCTCAAAATCACCTCCCAGCCTCATCAAGAGATTCCAGTTTGCCAGATGCTCTTCACTGCATGTGTCTGTTATGCAGTTCAGATATGTGACACAAGGCTTGCTTAAAGGGAGTAACCAAACATAGTTACGATCTGTTTAGTCTTATCCTGAATCTGTTCCAGCCATTTTACTCAGGCAAATAAAGATCTGGTCATTGCAATCCTCCTAACCGTGACACTTCTGCAGATGTGTATAACTTGCTCTAGTAAGCCTAGTATTCTAATAGGATACATCTCACTGGCAAATGCTCACATTTTTATATTGAGGATATGCTTGTTGCAGGAAGGGGGACCCCTTCCAGGGCCCGAAACTGGGCTCTTGTCTAACACTCGGAAATGAATTGTCCGAGGAGACACATGTGCTGACAAAGCAAGAGATTTAATTGGGAAGGGCACCCGGGTGGAGAGCAAGAGGGTAAGGGAACCCAGGAGAACTGCTCTGCCGCGTGGCTCGCAGTCTTGGGTTTTATGGTGACGGGATTAGTTTCTGGGTGGTCTTTGGCCAATCATTCTAATTCAGAGTCTTTCCTGGTGGCACACACATCACTCAGCCAAGATGGATGCTAGCAAGAGGGATTCTGGGAAGTGGACGGACAGGCAGTGTCTCCTCTCGACCTTTCCCGAACTCTTCCAGCTGGTGGTGGCTTATTAGTTCTGTATTCCTTATCAGTATCTCCTGTCATAAAACAACTCATGCAAATGGTTACTATGGTGCCTGGCCAGGGTGGGCGGTTTCAATCAGTGTGCTTCCCCTAACATGCTTATAGATCTTATCTTTCAATAAAAGTTTTTTATCTGCTAAAATTTTATCAGAAACATAGGAGAATCTGGGTTGCATAGCCTATTTAAAAAAATAGCAGAGCAGCAAGATCCACACATTCAGGACCTCATGGAATCTGGCCCATTTAGTCATAATGGTGGTTTTTTTTTAAGTTTAAATGAGCAGATTTACTAAATTATGAATTTGAATTTTTTGCTTTTATTATTTCATTATAACTATTCTGTAACTTAGATATATTGCCCATGTTTAGAAGTCTGTAACATAATAGTTATAATAATTAATTCCCCAATGTCAGAAATGTGTAAATGAGTTCATATTTTTGTTGGCAATTTACTTTATAAGCTTTTTAATATTGTATAATTTTTAATCTAAAATGTAGAAAGTATATATTTATATACAAATGAGTAGACTAGTACCAGTTGTAACTTATTAGCCAAAACACAGCTATTTTACTGTCAGTGTAGAAGAGTGTAGCTTGTAATCAATTATAATTTTTAAATGCAAAGTCTATAAAACTTTCAAGATGTGTTGCCCATTTGTTTTCAATATTTATAATAATTTTCTACTACCTTCAAGTATCTTATTTTTTTTAATAAAGTTTTATTGAAACACAGTATGTAACAAACCCATTTGTTTATCTAGTTGTAGAGCCCTAGTGCTGGCTCGGTCGTTGTGGTACACGGGCTTAGTTGCTTAGCAACATGGGAGCTCTTAGTTTCTGGATCAGGGATCAAGCCTGAGTCTCCTGCATTGCATGGATTCTTGACCACTGGACCACCAGGAAAGTCCCAGCAAATGTCTATTTTTTATCAAGCCAGGTAGTTACTTTATTTGAACTGTGTTGTACTCTCGGACCTTTATCTTGCCTAGAAATGAAAAATCTGTGTGCATGTGCTCAGTTGTGTCAGACTCTTTGCAAGCCCATAAACTGTAGCCTGCCAGGCTCCTCTGTCCATGGGATTTCCCAGGCAAGAATACTAGAACAAGATGGCCATTTCCTTCTCAGGTGATCTTCCCGACCCAGGGATCGAACCTGAGTCTCTTGAGTCTCCTGCATTGGCAGGCGAGTTCTTTACCCGCTGAGCCACCAGGGCAAGTCAGGTAGCTACTGAGAGGGTAACAGGCAGGAAGGCCAAGGAAGGCTGCAAGTGTCAGATATTTTTTCTCTCTCTTAAGTGGCTAGTGTTAGATTTTTTCCTCTTCTCTATACAGATTTAAAAAGAGGTTTCTTTTAAAGTTCTGTGTTGCCATGAGGACACCTGGTTCCACCTGAACTTAACTTTTCTCAAACCTTGAGCTAACCAGTACCATTTTTCTTATGGAAATGTTTGTCTTAAGCTGTGTTAATGAACTGTGTATTTACCCTAGACTCTGTCTTCAAGTCGGTTCCACCTAATAAGATTCAGACTTGACAAACCAGTATGTTTTACTCATGCAAATGTTCTCTTAAGCTATGTTAATAAGACTATATTTGCTTGAAAACCTGCCTTTCTTCAAGATTCCTGTCCATCATTTATTTGCCCAGGACAACTCACCTTGTGCCAATGTTATCTCAGAATGCATGTTGTGGGTGAGGGGCCTGGTACCAGTCTCTGAGTTTTGAGACATTTCCTCTCTCTAATTAGCAGACTGCTAGAAGCTATATAATCTCTGGCTAAAGGCTAGCAGGGGGCACTCTTTCTGCCCCCTTCTGATGTCTATGTCAGAAGCCCTCTCTATCTCTTTTATACTTTAGTAAAATTTTATTACACAAAACCTCTGAGCGATCAAGCCTCGTCACTGGCCCCGGATTGAATTCCTGTCCTCTGGGAGGCCAAGAATCCCAGCATCGTTCATGGCTCAGCGACAACTTTACACTACTTTATTTGACCTGTGTTGTACTCTCATACCTTTATCTTGCCCAGAAGTAAATAAATAATAAGTAGCTTTACTCTGTATTTAGGTGTATTTTTTTTGTTTTATAATAAAATATTCATCTGGAGATTAATGTGATATACTTTTGATAATTTCCTTTAAAATGTCAACAAAAAGTTTTGAGCCATCCAGTCTAACAAGAGAATGTGTTTATTTGCATTGAGGAAGAGAAGCATGCCATAAGTTTCAGTGCCTGTGTAAGCATGTGTGTGTACGTGCACATGTAAGAGAGTGTGGCAGATAAAGGAACAGGTCCGAGTGCAGGAAGGAGCCGTGCTGATAAGGTGTTTGGTGTGATGGTATCCGTACACTTAACACCCTCCTTTTCTTGGGCCAAAGAAGATGGCATCAAACTATGATTTTTAATGGTTTTCCCTCCTTTTCTTACCTCATATTTTTAAATGTGGGAGAGAGGGGTCTTAAATCTAATAAGTATTGTAATGAAGCTTAATAGTAACTCAAATGCTGATTTTTTTTTCAGATGTTAGGTTTTTAACAAAATCTCTATCAGCCACCATACTAGCTTTATATATTGTTTAAGGTAATTCTGAAAGGAATGAAAAAATTTAAAATATACAATCTCTTTTGAGATTTTACATTGTATCACATTTATTTGGGTTTGTAATACCAAATGCACCCCATTTTAAAATGTGGCATGGAATATATAGAATATGGTTGGTAACTAAATTTGTTTTCAGACTTTCCCCAAGATAGGTAACAATGTGAAGTGTTCCAAAATCAGAGTTGGAAGTTATGTCCCTTGGAAAGCTACTTAACCTTGGGGCTTTACTTGCCTCATCTTTGTGAATGGTGATATCCCTTTTGTAAGCTTGTTGTGAAGATTAAATTATATAGTATGTGAAAATGATATGACATAGTATGGTGTTTAGTTCAGAATAAGTGCTTAATAAGTGCTCTCACTCTTCTTCCTTCTATCTAAATTAATTGGTACCACGTGTTTCTTACAGTAAAGCATTTGATCACATGTCTATTCATTCCCTAACATCAATCTGTTAAAACCTACTCAGCTGTCATTTTATCTTATTGCTAGTAAATATAAACATGTCTAGCTTTATGTTCATGTAAGTTGAAATAACTTTGAAAACCACCCACTCACTCTAACCTTCTGTTCTGTCTACTTTAAACCTATTTGAGCATCATGAAGGGCTCCCAGGCCTTTCACAGAATCTTTTTGGCTTCTTCTGCCCCTGCTTCCCTTCTCTTCCAACCAGATCTACAGCGCACCCACTGTTCCTTAGACTACTTCATGTTTTGCTGTCTTAAAGTTCCTGCTCACCCTCATCATATTCTATCAAAATTCGACTCATTTCTTAAAGTCTGTATCTTGTACGTCAGTGGTTTTCAGGGTGTTTTCCACTCTCAGAGAAGTCCCCTGGAGTCTTGCGGGGGTCCACGTGGTCAAACCAGTTTTTGTAACACTAAGACATTAGTGCTTTTTCACGTTTTCACTTTGTTGACATTTAATACTGTGGTGGAGAGGCAGAGGAACCAGAGATCAAATTGCCAACATTTGTTGGATCATAGAAAAAGCAAGAGAGTTTCAGAAAAACATCTGCTTCTGCTTTATTGACTATGCCAAAGCCTTTGACTGTGGATCACAACAAACTGTGGAAAATTCTTCAAGAGATGGGAATACCAGACCACCTTACCTGCTTTCTGAGAAATCTATATGCAGGTCAAGAAGCAACAGTTAGAACCCAACATGGAACCACAGACTGGTTCCAAATTGGGAAAGGAGTATGTCAAGGCTGTATATTGTCACCCTGCTTGTTTAACTTGTATGCAGAGTACATCATGCAAAATGCCAGGCTGGATGAAGCACAAGCTAGAATCAAGACTGCCAGGAGAAATATCAATAACTTCAGATATGCAGATGATACCACCTTTATGGCAGAAAGCGAAGAAGAACTAAAGAGCCTCTTGATGAAAGTAAGAGAGGAGAGTGAAAAAGCTGGCTTAAAACTCAACATTCAAAAAACCAAGATCATGGCATTCTGTCTCATCACTTCATAGCAAATAGATGAGGAAACAGTGACAGACTTTCCTTTCTTGGGCTCCAAAATCACTCAGATGGTGACTGCAGCCATGAAATTTTAAAAAGGCACTTGTTCATTGGAAGAAAAGTTATGACCAGCCTGGACAGCATATTAAAAAGCAGAGACATTACTTTGCCAACAAAGTCTGTCTAGTCGAGGCTATGGTTTTTCCAGTAGTCATGTATGGATGTGAGAGTTGGACCATAAAGCTGAACACCGAAGAATTTATGCTTTTGAACTGTGGTATTGGGGAAGACTCTTTAGAGTCCCTTGGACTGCAAGGAGTCAAACCAGTCAGTCCTAAAGGAAATTAACCCTGAATATTCATTGGAAGGACTGATGCTGAAGCTGAAGCTCCAATACTTTGGCCACCTGATGGAAAGAACTGACTCATTAGAAAAGACCCTGATGCTGGGAAAGATTGAAGGCAGAAGGAGAAGAGACGACAGAGAGTAAGATGGTTGGATGGCATCACCAACTTGATGAACATGAGTTTGAGCAAACTCTGGGATTTGGTGATGGACAGGGAAGTCTGGCATGGTGCAGTCCATGATGTTACAGGGAGTCAGACACGACTGAGCAACTGAACTGAAGTGGGA